AAATTGAAACACTCTATGGAATCAATTCTCTCATCAGTAAATGAAAAAGTGCCAGTAACTCGCTTTTTAGTCTTAAATACACTTGTTGTGTTATACATCTTCATACAGTCATACATCTTGACAATACAACTATTCTGCTACGACTACTACCGTATCTTCCAGAGTATAAGTCACACCAGCTAAAAAATGCATAATGAAGAAGAAAAAAACATATATAAGCCGCACTGGACTATAAGCTGCACTTTTTGGGGGAAATTTATTTTAAAAAAATTAAAGACCAGGAATTGACATTTCCTGTTGAAAGTCAAGTTCTAGTAATAACAATAGAAGAGAGAACAACAGACTGTTAACGTCACATATGAACAGTTCTTCAGATAAACTATAACATAAACAACAGAACAGAACAAGTTTACCAAACTCTCCATCTCACTCCAAATCACTAAATCCATTCAATTCTTCATCCTCGGTGTCACTTCTGAGCAACTCGGCCTCGACCTCCGGAGGTAAACGGAAGTCGCCAAGTTTTACGTAGCTGTTGTTAGACTCACGGTCAGTTCCGGCCTTTCTGAATCCCGACAGGATGGTTTCGGTTGTGTATTTATTTATTTATTTGAGACAGGGACAGCGCACAATTTTTACATTAACCTTAACAGGAGAGATGCATTGTACCAGGTTGTAGCGTCAGTGCTGATTTCCACCTGTCGTCCCTGGGCAGGTTTATTGATTGATTGTATTTAACTGACCTTGATTATCAACTGTTCTTGGAGACCTGTAGCGCGTTTTGAGTCACTGAAATCACTTAAATTTGACATTTTCAGTGGTGCAGAAGTAATGGTGCGATCGACTGACATGATACAGACAGAACAGAGGCTCTTTCTGCAGGAGACATGTGCAGTAGAGTGAAGTGACAGTGGTACAGGAGGAACAGGAGCAGCAGATACTCACACACAAGACTAGAGCCTCTTGACACTTCACTGTGAACATTTTAATATATAAGTCACACCGGAGTATAAGTCGCAGAAAACACCCAAACCAGGAAAAAAAAATGCCACTTATAGTCTAAAAAATATGGTATTTATTCACTTAGTAAATTATTTGGTTATAAAGTTGTGTGTCTGATTTTTTTTTCCATGTATTTGAACAGAATGTATCTTGTCCCAGTACAGATATACTCGTATTGCATCTAATTATAAAGCATTTTATTGTCAGAGGAAGTGCGTGTTAGCATGCTAGTTGTTTGCTTTATTGTTACAGTGCAGGTTGGGTGGTCATTCACCTTCATGTTTCTATAGATATGTCATTGCTCTGCCTGGAATGTTCCACAGTATGACATTAAACAGCTCTACTTGACATTTATGCAATTACAGGTGGTTTTATAGAAAATTCGGACTGTGAGCGGGGTCGCCTCTCCACAGATCTGACCTGTAACTTAGTCTGGTTTGGTTTCCATGAAGATAGAAAGGTTTAATACCAACCATACTGTGAAACATTCCAGACAAAGCAATAACATCTCCATGGACGAGCAGATTAGAGCAAAAAAAAAAAAAAAAAAAGGTTCTTAATTTCAAACTTTCCAACGCAAAAACACATAAAACGACTTTATTAATCTTGGTGGAACTTCTGGTAGCTTTTAAGACGCAATGAAACGCAGATCGTGTGAAAGTTTAGAATAACGAAACCTTAACCCCGGCCAAATCAAGCCTATCTAACCTCGCAGTCAGCTGGAAACCCATTATAATTATATGAATATGACAGCGAAACAATATGAGAACCTCTTCCAAAAACACTGTGACAGCAACTGCACACAGCTGTGGAAACCTTGTCAATGGTGTGAGAATAAAACTTTTCCTAAACTAACACAAACGAACCGGGGCTCCAGCAGACAGAATGACATCGACTCAAATAAAACGAATTCAACCAAGTTACAGTATTTTTTCCACGTTTCTCCCCATCTTGCGACCATATGTAGATTACCATTTTATCTTGCCTCACTCGTTTTTGATATTTTGATTGGTTCGTTTTTCGTCCTTTTTTTTTGGTCTAACACCATATGAGCTGAAATCCATGCCTGGAAATTGAAGTAATGGAGGAAATTGTTATCACATGTTACTAATGTTTTTTTTTTTGAAGTGACGGTTACCCACTGGGCTTAAAAAGACTATACGCCGTTATCCGAAAGCAACCTGCGCTTTGTCAAAACTCTGACAGAAAATCCTTTAAGTGCATGTTTTACAAGCTCAGGATCGACTCAAGGAGGAAGGGGGATAAACTCAGCAGATGTTTAATCTATATGTTACACAGACGGATTTAAGGTTGACCTGAAATGAATCGTGGGAGTTTACTGGAGGAGACCCGCTTAGAATTTGAGAACCAGGCCGTAGAGTGTACCAGTACTTTTTGAGACCCATGCGTTTCAGATTCTGTACGGAACATCGATAGTTTCACTGGGGGTGGTCTACGTGAATACACTAGACCAGTGGTCACCAATCTTTTTCAGACAAAGATCTACATGCTTGGTCCGAGAAAAGAGCAAGATCTACCAACGTGAACGTAAATAACAACAACAAAAGTGATCATGTTTATAGTTCTAGACAGCTTTATTTTTGCATTCTTACTTAAGGAACACTCATTACAGAATGGGGACTAAAAAACTCTCTGCACGAAAAAATGTGCAACTGCAATACAAACAAAATGTAAACCAAATGCAGTGAAAGCAACCAAAATAGTGCAAATTTGACCACTAAACAGCATTTATTATCAAATTCAGGGTGATGGCTGAGTCTGAATTTCCTTGGATGATGTTTTGAAGTTTGGTTTATAGATGCAGACAGCTAAACTGAGACAATCTGTGAGGTGCCTATCAGTCAGACTGTTTCTGTGCTTGGATTTGTTGATTTTCATTTGTGGAAAGACCACCTGACGCAGATAAGTTAAACCAAAGTAACTCACTTTCAATGCACATCTAGTATCACAAATTGTTGAATTCAGCTGGAGATCTACCGGGGACACAGCAAAGATGCAACTGTTGATCGCGATCTACAGGTTGGTGACCACTGCACTAGACGGTTCACAAAAACCCCGGAAGTGTGAGTTCGGGCACCAGCCAATCAGCAAAGAGCCGTATATTCAGTGTTGTCAACGATTCCCGAGATCGAGGATTTAAAGCCGTTACAAAGAGAATGTTTGGTGAATTTTATCAAGGGGAAAGACGTTACTGTCCTTCTTCCTACGGGATTTGGGAAAAGCTTAATATACCAGTTTACCCCGTTAGTGGCGCATTACGTAAGTCATGACCAAATAGCAGCGATTGGTCGTCTACCGTCGAGCGAACGAATTCTAACGCTGTGAGGTCAGACGGTTTCTACGAAGTGAAACCGGCTCACGGATTAGGCCAGTCTACGTGCATCTCTATTGGCGGAATGTTCAGCAGTTACCATGACGACACAACGCACGTATTAGTAAACACAGACAAAAATGTTAACTAAGATTCTCTGAAAACTCAAGAAAAAATGCAAAAAGGATTTAAACAGCAATTTTTCAGGAGTTTGTGATCAATACGAGCGTTCATAGTCCTGTTTAAGTGTTTGATTTTCAATAGTGACTGAACTGAAAAACTGTTGACTAATTCTGGCTGACTTCTGACTGTAATTTTATGTGTGACAGATACTGGCTTGAGTGTCTCTCTTGGGCAGCACATGGGTAACTGCTGTGCCCAGGAGAAAAGTATTGATGAATTGAGTTAGAAAATCAGCTTCTATGTCATACTAAAACTAGAAAAGCACTCAGAGCTCCGCCAAGGACTACAGTCCCCCTCAAATTAATTGTGTTTTCCATTAATATTTGTCTTGTATCTTTCAATTTGGAATATGAAAGAGGATCTGATTGTCCATCCCTGAGTCAAATTTCATGGGGTTTGGTCAATAATTAACCGAGATATTGAGAAACAAAATTTTTGGCCCCATTTACCACAATGTTAACTAAAATTTCAAAGTGATCCAGAATCCAGGATTTCTTCCGGATCACCCCCAAAATGAAATCAGTTCTTCCTTTTCACATTTCCAACAAATCCTGAAAATTTCATCAAAATCGGTCCATAACTTTTTGAGTTATGTTGCTAACAGACAAACAAACAAATAAACAGACAAACGCCGGCAAAAACATAACCTCCTTGGCGGAGGTAATGAAATGTGAATATGGCGAGACCAAATGCCGGGCCTTGTTTATGAGGAGAAAATTCAGTTTGTCGACTGGACAAAAGTTAGTTTGGTGAAGATGTTTCGCAGCTCATCCAAGCTGCTTCTTCAGTTCTGGTCAGACGCTGGTGGACACTTCCTTATATCTGCAGGGAGGAGCTAACTACACTGAAACTAACACACACTTGTTTACAGTTTGTGTTTGTTAGTTTGGCCTATTGACCTGTGCAGGGTGTGGGGTCTAATTAGCAAAAACGTCGGTCATCACGATGCACCGGCGTGTCTGGAGGAAAGGGAAACGGCGTGATCTGAGTGCAAATGTCCGCTCTGTTTCAAAGTCTGAAGCGCACCGGTCCACGCCGTGTTGGATTGTTGTGGTTGACTGTCAATCATCGCTCCAGATCCTACCCCACACCTGCTCCCCCCAACACTCCAGCACCGCCCAGTCTGGAGGATTTTTCTCATTTTGCTTATGGGCAGTGTAAAACTTCGGGAGGGTGTTTAATGGCTCTTTACATTTTGAATAAAAGCAGCCAAATTCCCTTCACAACCTGTGTGACCTTTGACTCCTGATGTCATTGTTAGTCACTGCTGAAAAGGTAAACCTATAGTCCCTCCTCAGGCCGTTCGTCACCATCAGAAGAAGCTGCTTTTGTTGTAACGCGTCTGACTCCCGCTTCACTTCCTCTCCTTTATGTGTGGACATTTTTCTCTCTGACATTTTGACACGGTTTGTAATGTGTTCCTTTCTTCTGCTCTTGTCTCCTCCCGGGTGTGTGTGTTTTGTCGTGTGAATGATATCTGCAGGTGACGGCGGGCAGTAAAGCGGCCCTCGGGGATCTGTGCGCCGGCGACACCATTTTGGCCATCAACGGAGAGAGCACTGAGAATATGACCCACATGGAGGCTCAGAACCGCATCAAGAACTGCAGCAGACAGCTCACGCTCAGCATCTGCAGGTAGGCCGGCGCAACTCCGACCGCCATCGACACTCACGCAACACTTTCAGAGTTTTTTTCATTTGTTTTTTCTCAGCTGTAGCACCTGATATTCCCAGTGGTCTCACATCCAAGTAGTAACTAGGGCCAGACCTGCTTAACAAAACAAAGCTCCAGGTCTGTTTCTGATGAACAAACAGCATTATAACATAGATCAAAAAAATACGTAATATGGTCCCTTTAATAATGAACCAATAGAAAAAACAAAGATTCAAGCTTACTATTTACATATTCCCTAACTCCTACCTTTAACTCCTTTATTAACCTCCTAGGACCCAAAGCTTTATTGATTTGTCTTTGTTATTTGGGCTGATTGGAACCTGCTGATTGCAAAAACAAAGAATAACACTTTTACATGATGTAGTTTCTAGAAAAATGATGTCCATATGTGATCTATAAAACATTCATTTTATGTTTTAATCATTTGGTGGAACACAATAAAGTCACAATTGAATAATGATTTGCAAAAACTATTTATTAAGTGTCTGAACAACCCAAAATGTGTTGGACATATATATGTTGCCAGGTCCTTGGAGGCTATGAAGTTACAGTATTTTTCAGACTATAAGGCACACTTAAAATCTGTTAATTTTCTCACAAATTGACAGTGTACCTTATAATCCAGTGCGTCTTATGTATTAATTCTGTTTTGTGCTTACTGACCTCGAACCGATTTTATGTAGTACATGGCACTCAAAAGTCTGTCAAAATGTTTTAGTACGACTTTAGTAAACTACGAAGCCACACCGCTTGATGGATTGTCAGAGCTTTACAGCTACCGTAGTCGGGAGCCTCATGGAGTAAGTGAGTTGTGTCCCTTAGTCTGACAGAAGCTGAACCGCATCAGCGCACAAGGAGTGAGCTGTTTTTTCAGTACTTATAGTTTATGCAAATCAACCATGTGGTTTGAAGTTTTGTTTCTGTAAAATGTAAGCAAATGTGCGCAAAGCTGCATTAAACACATTATTACTCAATGTTTATTTGATTCATTCAGGAAGTAAAGAAACAAACTTACCACCCATATTCACATTCATAATCCACATTCACCAAGACAGGGAGGCAACGCCGGGAGAATTACACCACGATCTGCCGATGGATCGTGGACGCCTGGGCTAAGGATCAGTCTCAAGTGTCGTCCGTTTGTTTCGCTTAATCCGATGCACCTTATGTATGAAAATAGACAAGAGAATTCAACATTACTGATATTGCGCCTTATAATCCGGTGCACCTTATAGTCCAAAAAAGGAGTCATAGTATGTAACAGAATGCACTTGTCAAAACTGGGCCACTGAAAAAGTAACAGCACATGGACCCGGTCAAGCAGAAGTAAACAGCAAGGCCAAAAATTCAAGTTAATTTATCTGATATAAAAATGTATTGAACAGATACATATGTACTCTAGTTTATGAAACTGTTTACCTTTTTTCTGTACCATTTTTGGTTCTAAAATTACATACGTTTTAAACAGACCATGTATGAAACATGGAACAAAAATTATTTCCCAAATTTCAAAGATCTGCAAATCATGTAAATAAATGGATGTATTTCATCATATCTTGTGTTATTCCATCTTTGAACTGTTCATGAAGGTACATGATTCTAAAAAAAAAAAAAAAGTATTTAAATTGATAAAAATTTGCTTGGAAGGACTGACATATTTTATAGAAATAATTACCTTTCATTTTGACGTAATATTAAAATACTTGAAAGAAAAAAGGTGACCAATGATGCAAAATCATGCACCTTCTACTTGTTTGCACCATTTTCCCTCCATTACCATGACCTTTCTTAATAAAAAATCTCATTACTCAAAAAGTAAGAGGTTTTTCAACCTAATCTTGTACCATATGGTAGAAAACTATATGAAGCAAATATTCAAACCAGTTTGTTAAGGATATGTAAGTGAGAACCAAGAGTTATCACTGTTTGTATTTATTGCCCAAAAAGTGCTGCATATTTCATTCCCCATTTACCGACTTGATGATTTTTTTATTTTTTTGTCAATAACTTGAAAGAATATCACAGGTTTAACTTTACCCTGTTGGAGTGTAACTCTTTCCTACATTCTGATACTTTACTTATTTCAATAGTTTCTGAATAAGAGACATTTGAATGTAAAAAATCTGCCCTGTTTCCCTCCGTTACCACTTGACTGGACCCACATCTGCCAGTGGTTTGCGAATTTGATTCCTGCGCTGTTGTTGTGTCCCTTAACAAGACACTTCACCTCCATTTTCTACCCTAGCCACAGAAAAGTATCAGCTCTACAACTCCACACATTACAGATGCTTAACAAGAGAAATTAGCCGTGCCATTTTTGGTTAAAGTAACATATATAATCGAGTGTAACATACAGGGCTCATTGGTGCGTTCACTCGGTCTTTCATATTGATATTTGAGAAACCCACTGTAGCTATTAGTAATCTTCTATGGTCATTTTCTATTTCTATTTCTAAATGATGATTCCAGTAAAAGCAGATCCCGTTGCGTCGCATGGTTGTCAGCGTAATTGAGCACAGTTTGGGTCCTGTTTGGTCTCCATTACTTTTAGCTTGTGGTTCGTTAGAGGAGTTTGTCACGGTTAAGGTCATTCACTGCAGGAGCATATTGTGCGTGTTTGCTTTATCCGTCTTGGCTCCGACCTGGTCTTGGGGGAAGATGACAGCTTTACAACTCCAATAGTTTTGTGTCTTCCTAAATGAGGCCGTACGCAGTGAGTCAGACTGACCTTTTCACTGGCCTTCACATGTCCGTAATGTTTTCTCTGCGCGGCGAGATGGAAAATCGAGCTCGCATCGCGGCGCTAACATCGCTTTTTAAACTGTTGACGTGCTGACGGGTTATTTAGTCTTGCCCCAGTTTGGATATTTTGTAAAAGCAGCTCCTCGGGGTCGAAATGAGATCACTGTCGTACAAATGAAACCAAAAAGATGAACACAAAAAAGCAACAGTTTTCTTCATTATTTGTCTCCAAAACCGAAGTGAAAAAACAGATAATGATTCGCTTTTTTATTGTTCGACTTTGTGTTTAAATGAATAATGGAAAAAACAGATAACGGTCCTGGTTTAGTTCTGGTTTAGACCTAGTTTAGTCCTGTTTTAGTCCTGGTTCAGTCGGTATGCGGCACAAAATCCAGGCATCGCCGTTTAAACACAACATCAAAAACTGAAAAATCATTTTGGTTTTGGAGACAAATAATGAAGAAAATAGTTCTTTTGTTTTGTTATTTGTGGTTTTATATTGGAAAACGAATGAACGAATGACACATGGATTCCAGACGTCCCTATTTACCCGGGACAGTCCCACTTTTGAGTCCTGTGTCCCCTGTCCCAGACGTTTTATATAAAACCAGCGATTTGTCCCAGTTTTATACAAGAAATGCCCTTATTTTTTATCAATTTGATCGAAACCAGGACTAAACTAAGATTAATCCAGGACTACATCAGGTCTAAACCAGGACTAAAACAGGACTATCACAGTTTTTGACTAATCTGATCAGTAAAGAGGAGCGTAAATTCTCATTTGTTTTGCCAAAATACAGAAAACTGTGTCCCAGTTTAGAAGTTATCTTAAAATTCATATAAATTACAACAAATCAAAAGATATATTTGGTACTTTGATTTAAAGACTTGAAATTACTTGAAGCTCAAAAGCAGATGACTTGGACTTGACTTGGACTTATGAGCCAGTGACTCGAGACTCAACGTGGACTTGCCCATATTTGACTTGGGACTTGACTTGGACTTGAGGTCAAAGACTTGAGACTTACTTGAGACTTCAGTCCTGGTTCAATCCTGGTTTAGTCCCGTTTTAGTCTTGGTTAAGTCCTGTTTTAGTCTTGGTTCAGTCCTGTTTTAGTCCTGTTTTCATCTTAGTTCAGTCCTAGTTCAGTCCTGGTTCAGTCCTGGTTCAGTCCTGGTTCAGTCCTGGTTCAGTCCCATTTTAGTCCTGGTTCAGATCTGATTCAGTTCTGATTCAGTCCTGTTTTCGTCTTAGTTCAGTCCTAGTTCAGTCCTGTTTCATTCCTGTTTTAATTCTGGTTCAGTTCTGTTTTAGTCCTGGTTCAGTCCTGATTCGGTCCAACATCGCAGTTTAAGTCACGAAAACGGGACCATTAGTCATTTAAAAACAAAATCGAAAACTGAAAAAAAAAAAAAAAAAAAAAAAAAAGGTATCGTGATCCATTTTTTCATTTTCGTTCTGGAGAAAATAGCTGATTTTTTTTCGTTTTCTCATTTTTGGTTTTATATTGAAAAACGAATGAACGAATGATACACGAACTGGGAACAACTAAAACACGGTTAAAATATAAAAAGTCATAAAAGTCGATTTTGCATAATAAGTCTGCTTTGAACAGATTGGACGGAGATGAAAACAGAATCGTATAAATCTGCAAATTGGTCCATCTGCTAACTGCTGACTAAAAATCTGTGTTCCATTTCACAGTTCGATCCAAAATACAACTGTTTTATTGCCTTGTTATAACTCTTTTTAAAGACCCATCGAATTTTATCTATCTCCAACCACCTTCTTGCCTTGGTAAATTGTAAAATATAAGATAAGCGTATGATAAAACTACATCAGATACAGAAGCTTCGCCGTGTCATCTTTGCTACAGAAATGATTCAAACAAATTGCTAATGACAGTGCCGGGGATAAGCAGGGAAAACTCAAATGTCAACCCCTTCCCACACACTTATTAAATAGATTCTTGGGCTTTTCCGAAGTACTGGAAAGTGCCGAGCGAATCTGGCAACCTCTGACTCCGATCCTTTACTGTGGTTTGAGCCTCAGATACACGAGAGTTCTGCCAAGTGGTTTCCGAGCTGTCTCCTTTCAGGGCTAACATCCACTATTCTCCCCATCGGTTTGGACGGGCCCGTTGCGAATACAGCAGAAAGCCTAACCGCCTCAGATAACGGAGCGTCTGAATTCACACGCGCGCGAGCTCGGACGGTGA